CTCGGTATCTTTGGGCCAGAAAAGGAGAATGTTCCATGACAATCTCGCGTGTGAAATGAACGTAAAGAAATCTTGCAGGCCCCTTGTTTTACCATCGAGCTTTTGTTTTATTTTATCGCTACACCCCTATTGTCGGGCAATGATGTGTACTGTATATAGTCTATCTAGCATTATATACTGTCCAGTAGCGCACTCATTGTCAGACCATCGTTATACCGTTCACATACATTTCGCTCTCACTGTTTCAAGCGCGGTGGTCTCCATTTTTCTTTACCCCTTTCTCTTCTTTTCGTACTACTCTCGCTTCCTCGCGCGCTTTGGTTCTCTTCCGCTCTTCTTTTCGCCGCTCTTTCTTCGGCTTCTCTCGGGCTTCAGCACTGCTGTCTGCGTATACTTTCTCTTCTACACTGCATACTACTAATACTGTTGTTACGATACTTCCCGCCGTACCCTTTTCGGATCTCCCTCGCCATTCTTCCGGTCTCCTCACGACCTTCTGGTCGTTCTTAACCCTCGTTCCCCCTTTTCGCATTTTTTCGAGATTTTTGCTCCCTCGGGGTTTGTTGCGCGTCGCACGATTTGTGAGTACGTATTCGTGCACTTATTATTCATCGCATATATTTATTATTATGTATTTATTGTACATGTTTATAAATCTCAGGCCACAATTTTACATTCTTTGTAAAAAAAAAAGTGAAAAAGTATATTGAAGCCTAGATTAAATAAAAATTAAATAAATATATAAACAAAAGCTTAAATTAGCTGGAGGAAGATTTTTCTAAAGGTCTGTGTCCACGATGCTAGAACTTGGTCCAAGTTCTATGTAATTTCGAGAAATGTGTAGCCTATCAACTTGCAGCTTTTATGGAGTAGCTGCAAGTCAATTGGCTACACATTTCTCAGAACTAGAACTTGGACCAAGTTCTAGCATCGTGGACACAGGCCTTAAGTCATATTAAACGGTTAGAGAGCTACGAATAATGTCAGATCTACTCTATGCCAATACATAATATGACTTTTACGAGACGTTTATGGAAATAATTTATTAATTTACATTCATGAAAGGATCTCAGTGCTCGTTAGTCTCTGGACTTTGAATGTTTACAAAATAATATTTCTTTAAAGTAGTTGACTAATAGCGAATTCGGTTGCTTGCACTAATGCGCGCTGAGTGCACCCTAAGGCTTGTTTACAGTCAATTCTTATATTTAAGGATCGTCTTAAATATCTCTTGAAATATTTTGTAGCCAGTAAAATGATCTGTATAGCAATCATTTTTCTGGCTAAATACTCGACAAATTTAAATATAAAAATTGACTATAAACAGGCCTTAGACTACTTGCACTCAGTGCGCACTAGTGCAAGCAATCGAATTCGCTATATATGCTATAAATGATTTAAATTTGACGGGTGAAAAAATTAATTAATATTGTCACCTTTAGAAGCTATAAAATTGAGAGGATCGATATATTAACACTTCAGCTTGATTGTACATACGTGCAAAGGATTGTACATTTTAAACAAAAATCGTGCGACGTGCAAACCTGCAAACACGGACCTTTACAAGAAACTTTACAAGAGGAAAACAGAACAAGCGGACAACAGACGTGATCGAGACGTTTCATGACACGCGTGTCACAGCATTCGCGCCGCATCTCTCAGTCAACACGACTCGTGTAATCGCGTTTATGTACATTTTACACAACGCATGCGGAGCGACTTCGCGGTTCTTCGCCTTCGCAATTTCCCTTCGTCGGGGAGTTGAAATAAAGGTCGGAGACAACACGGTAAGACGCAAAGCGAACAACCGCGAATCCGACCTCCGCCTAACGTATATCGTTACCGACCAAATCCGCTATACTCATGTTAGAAGGATACCGCTTATACAGATTGTTAGCCGAGAATGAGTATACTCCTATGCGTTTATAGAGCTGTCTTTTAGGCAAACTCGTGTCCACTACACAAGTAGTGGTTTCTAAGTAAGTACAAAAAAAATGTAAGGGGATATTCCTTGGTTTATTATGAAGAAAGTGTCCTGTGAATGTACGCCCTAAAGTGCTTTGCTCTTAAAATACAGGATGTCAAATTTGAAAAAAGAAATATTGCACAAATCTGAGAAACCGCTCAGAGATATTTTATTCAAATTTAGCGTGTGTAGACGCGATATTGAGAATCATTTTCCAGTACCGCTAAAACATTTTTAGACACAAGAATGAAGCTGTTTACACTTTTAATTTCAATTTTCTATTTTAACTCGAGAGCGGCTAACCGCACAAAAAAAACACAAGAGATAGTTTTTTTATTGAGTATAGTTCGGGATTTCAAAAACGTTGTTAAACTTGGAAAAATACTGACGTACCATTCTTTCATTAAACAAACCTTAATATTACCCTTTCGCATGTCCCTGATGGATCTGAAAATGTTTCATTGGTACTGGAAAATTGTTTTTAATACTACACGTACGCACACCGAATTTGAATAAAATATCTCTTAAGAGCGTTTTCTTAGATTTTCAAAATTTTCATTTTTTCTCAAATTTGACGTCTGTATTTACAAACGCATAAACCTGCAAATACTTAAAAGGACTTTGGGACATATGCTCGTAGGACATTTTCTTTAAATAAGTCAAAGAATATGCCTTTACAATTTTTGTGCCTATTTAGGAATCGTTATATATATGTATACTGTAGCCAAACCCGTGGACACTACAGAGTGTCTCGAAACACCTCTTATCGCAACCCATCGACATACAGAATGAACTGAGCGTTGCGATAGACAAACACGCGCCTGCTGTAGATAGAGAGAACAAGGTACTACCTATGTCAATTTCTTTTGCTAACATCTCATTGATAATTTCGTCCTCCCACTACCAATAACTACCGATGAGATGCAAGAGAGACAAACATAGGCTTCTATGCAGTACCTCTTTCTCTATAGTGGGCGCACGTTTGTCTATCGTAACGCTCAGTCCGTTCTATATGTCGAGGTCGTAACCGTTCGACTGTTTTAATTACTTATTAACTATGTTTGTCTAATAATTCCACGATTTCTTAGAATATGAGAAATTAGGCTACGAAAGTAGAAGCGTGTTTTATGCCAAAGATAAATTTGATGCGTAAAGATTTCTTATAAATGACTTCCAATTTAAAGATTATTGAAATGAACGAATTGCTATTATCGAATTATCTCCACGAAATAACGAAGAAGCGGCTTTAGCCAAGATGCGTCTCCGAAAATTGTTACTCCAAGATATCACGTGTGTACAAGGCATCTCATCCGAGGTTCATTTGCAACACTTGCGAGCTAGTATTCGGAATTGGATGCTCTAGATTTCGCCCCTAATTTTCGTGGATATCCCACTTTAATCAGTGCGCAGTTAGACGAGAGCTTTCGGGACACCCTGTAGACTTAGTTGAAAGTTCCACCACTCACCAAGTGAGGAAGCAACTCACCGCACATATTCTCTAAGCACATAACAGAGCAAACCGATGCAGCAACGTCGAGCGAGGAAATTCTTCGCTAACTGCAATCCGCGCTTTCGTCGCACTCCACTTTGTCCAGGAGCTCTATCGAGCGGATGTTCCCCCCCCCCCCCCGAACACGCCTTATTCTAGTCGATGGCGTATAGGAAACGTTTTTCTTTTACTTATCGAGAAAAAAGATTGACATTCTGCATTGCGTTGTAAGAAAAATATTTTGTTCAAATTTCTTTGGGCAATTTTTGTCTTATTTTAATTTTGTGATAATAACAATTGTCCGCATACTTTCTCGCGTGTTACGAAATATTCTTTAGTGATTCAATAAAATACAGATTCTACATGTTCCTATATTTTCTACAGTTATTTAATTTCTACAGTTATATAATTTCACGAGCGCCCTGTAAACCTGAAACGAAATTACATTATCTAATAATTTGTCCTTTCTTGTAATTGGTCATTTATATTTCTATTGTTATCTGAGCTTCCAAACGAACAACTCATTATTCGTCTACCATTGATCGAAGATAATAGATTCTATCAATACGTCATCGACCTCCGCTCGATTGATTTCCCGTGCTAGAAATACAAAATCGAATGCGATTGCTTGAATAAAGAGGGAAAAGGGCTGCGTTTTCGCGAATAAATGCCTGAAAAATTTAAAGGAGGGAACAGTCGAACTTGAATATGCTTATTGAATTTTCGCGCGGAGACGCAAACTTCACTTTCACTTCTCATTGAATCTTGTGATTCGGGATACGGTAACTTGCTCGGAAATGAAATGAGAAACGTGACGAACGGAAATTTGGAATATTAAAGAAGAAGCGCCCCTTTCCTTCGGGCGAAGGTTTTAGCGAATCGTCGCTTATCTCTCGAGAAGATTAAATTAGAAAGCGAAAGAGGACTGGCAATCCTCGTTTTCGGTTACCCCTTTAGCCAATGGACGCTTGATCACATTAGGTTGTTTATGTTTCGTGATAAAGATTCCCATAAGTTCTGAGCTGCTTGAAGCTGTACGTGTCAACAGCTTTAACTCTTGGCGGCGGCTTTCGTTTCATCTTTACATTAAAATAATTATATTTTTATGTCTAATTTACTATTTATTTTAATGGAAAGGTACGTAAAATTAAATCCTGAATTAGCATTGAAAATTAATCAAAACGATGAGATAAAATCTACAGAGAAGCAGAAATCGATGATTATCGAATTAATTAATGTTAAAAAAAATCGCCGTTTTCGTAAAATAAATCTAAGATCGGAGCCTGTACCGCGAAGAGCTAAAGCACTTCCTCTTTTCTTATTTTACAGAAGCTTGATCATATCACGTAGAACACTCTTTGCCAAGGGTGTCGCAGACACTCTTCCAAGTTGAATTTAGTTTGCTTTCGTAGAGCGTTCGCTATGGCTTCTAATTAGAAGTAACGATCTCTCTCGCGTGGTTGCCCTTTCCCCTTCGAGTCTCCGCGAGCGAGAATCGTCTTATAGTTGCCTAACTAATTTTTACATTCCTATAAAACAAAACAGAACAGCTGGACCGGATCGAGGAGGGCATGGACCAGATTAACGCCGACATGAAAGAGGCCGAGAAAAATCTCACCGGAATGGAGAAGTGCTGCGGCCTTTGCGTTCTCCCCTGTAACAAGTACGACACAACTATTATCCTCTCTTCCTTTTGCGTTGTTGTCGCTTTTCTCCCTTATAAAAAAAGAAATTGAAAAAGCACACGTTTTACCGTCTCATTAAGTTTGTTATTAATAAGCCGCACGATTAGATCGCACAGGCGTTAAGAGACAAATTTAATGCGCCTCGTCCATATTTAAAAGATCAGTTTTGAAGATAAGTTGAATAAGTGAACATTGTGGACGAAACGAAATTATATCACACTTTTACATAATTGTTAGGTGTAAATTCCAAACTTTAAATTAGAAATTTTCACGAAAATTGGCAAGTTGGCACAGCGCAAAAGACCATTCAGTTTTTCGAAAGCCACAGACAAAATTATTAGGCACCCTCCTGATCATTATACTGCAAATCTAAGTGTGCTACTTTTATACACACATATGTGTAATTTGGTGAAGCACTTTAAAAGTTGTTTACTGCATAGAAGCAATGAACGCTCTACTAAACAATTAAAAAAATATATATATATAAATTTTTCAGGTATTAGAATCAGTACAGTGTAATGATTAGAAGGGTGTCTAATAATTTTGTCAATGGTTGTAAGTATTAACAAATTATCCGTCTTCATAGAGCTAGTTGCAAAGTGCAAGTTGTAAAATAAAATAGCGCAAATCTGCCGAATTAATGAAATCAATGGAATGGAATTTTTTTTCAAACTGACTACTCGAGTCGGACTTTTAAATCAATTTTTCCCACTGTCTATCGAACGTTAGTCCTTAAATTTTTCTCCTGAAACTGTCTTAATCGCGTCGCTCGCACGACGATCTTGCGCGCACAGAGGTGCCAGCTTCAAGGAGGATGAGGGCACGTGGAAGGGCAACGACGACGGCAAGGTCGTGAACAATCAGCCGCAGCGGGTGATGGACGACCGCAACGGTCTCGGGCCGCAGGGCGGCTACATCGCCAAGATTACGAACGACGCGCGAGAGGGGGAGATGGAAGAGAACATGGGCCAGGTGAACACGATGATCGGCAACCTGAGGAATATGGCGATCGACATGGGCAGCGAACTTGAGAATCAGAATCGACAGATCGACAGGATCAACCGCAAGGTGAGTAGCGGAGAATGAGTAATGGCGAGTGAATGCGCAGCACTGGCGTCCCAAACGCGGCACCGCAGTCGTCGGGCGACTTGGCATGGCTCTAAAACAAAAAAAGAACAACCCGGGCGGCGATTCGTCGTGCGTACTCGTTGACATACGTATCGCAAACCTTGATCGAGAATGGGACGTCTTGGAGAGATCATTGGACTCGGAGCAAGAGTAGAGCGTTTTAAAGCTTGGAGCTTCTACATTTCGTGCCGCACCCTTGCTCCGAATCTTTCATCTCTTAAGTAACGGAAGTTAGTGGATTGTTTGAAATATAGGATTCCCGAGAGATTTGCAGTTAAGATCGAGAGATAAAGAATCACTTTGATTAGTCACATCGTTGTCGTTTTGAGGCAGAAGCCTTTTATCCGCGAACGACAATTAGTTTGATAGATTAATGATATATTTTTTATATTCGAGTTTGTACAAATTTCACCAAGGTTGTAGGGCTATCAATGAAGCTGTGAGTCGACTAAACCTAAAATATCAAGTAATAGCCCTCAAGACGTAATCCAGTATGTCGATGAGAACTAAAGTCTAATGCACACCTGCATTACTAGCAGTAGCGAATATATGTATCGAGCGGATTGAATCATCCTGAGAAATTTTGATTAAAGTAACTTGATTGAAGAATTGACTACTCAAAAGTTTTCAATACAAAAAGCTAAACATTTGAAAACTACCGCTTTGAAATCAGCGAGAACTCTTACTGCTCAAAAAGCATTTCAAATTTCTAATTAATTATCAATTATATATCAATTATCAATTAATTATCAATTATACTTTGAGAAATTGAATAAAATTGAACTCATAAATTCCTCAAAGTAACGCCATCATTTAGTTTTAAATTTAACGATATCTTGAATTGAATCGCGGACGTTAAATTTTTTTTAGAAAAATTAACTCTTAATTCAATAACTTTTAATTGTCTGAACTGGTAACTTAATGTACTTGATGGACATGTACATACAAAATGTAAATTTAATCAGTCAATTATTGCTGTAGTCTGCAAGATGATCGACGCGACTTTACTGTTTGCATGTGTGTGTTAGACTCTCTTGTGAAACGAACTAATATTTGATATAAGTATACGCGAATTTCTATGTCACAATGCACAAGCTCAGAGCGATGCACATCACATTCGTCGTCGCTTTTGCTTATATGTCTTTCCATTCTTCCTGTCTTACTTCCTTTCTTCCTTCCTCCAGCCCTCCTTTCTTTCTTCTCTCTCTCTTCTTTTTCTTTCTTTCCTCCTTTCCTCCTTCCCTCCCTTCTTTGTTCCTTCTTTCTTTCTTCCTTCATTCTGTTCTCTCTATTATCATAATTACATGATTCCAATCCGGACAAGTGGTCCCAACAGACATCCATAATCGCCTTTTACATTTTTTCCCCAAAAAATGAAGTCCAAAAAGCAATGTAATATGCACTTTGTCTAAGCCTCCCGATTTTCTCAACGCAATTTTCGGTAATAAACTTTAATCTTAACAATACTTAGTCCTAAATATCTTAAAGATTGAAATAACGAATAATACAAGGTAATTTGCAAAGAGCGCAAATTCGAAAACTTGTATATCCTTTAAAAACACATAGGAACGGTTCATGTTCGTAGGCGAGTCCGAGGCAGACGCCTCCGCTCTTTTGGATTAAAGTTCCCGATCGAAATTGCGATTTGTAAAAGGGCAATTTCAAGATTGATTCTAGGACTCCGTAAAATTTGAATCAATTTCGTAGCAACACGAAATTGCATGCTCACGCACGTGCATCGCACTTAGTCGTGATTCCCGTCCCCCCCAACGTGTTAAATATCGCGACTTTATTCCACGGCTCCTTACTGAAATTCGGACACAACTGCGCTACTTGTCAATTGTCCCTTCAGCACAGCCTGCCTTCTGTGTTTTTCTTGTACTTGCAATTACTGCACCACCCACGCGTCTGATCACGCTTCGGATTTACTTCTCCTTTTATTTTGTCTCTTTCTTCTCTATTTCACGAAAGTCTTTACCGAGGGACTGTGGTACTTCCATGGGTTTTCAATATGTTGTGAAAAAATTAAAATGCGATGGCGAAATATTTTGATCCGAGGACAGAGAGGTGAAAAGCTTGAAAATTGCACAAAAGAGATTGTACAACTGAGTCTCTTTAATTATTGAACTTAGACAATATTAAATAATAGCCAATATTAAATAATATTCAAGTAAAAATAATGTTTACAGAAAACGGGCAAGTTTGTTGCGAGTACTGAGAAGCAAAATATAGCGATTTATTAACTTGTCGTTTTAATGACAATTTTTTTAATATTCTTTTCTTTCTTAAATAATGGTTGAGAACTCGTGATCGATGTTGTGTCTATTTCTAAATTTTTATCATAGTTCCCTTTAGTAAATGCTAGACAGGAAAGAGACAGAGTTGTCTGGCTATAAAACGCTCTTCGAACGATCAATTATTCATAATAGTACTCATAACTTACAGTAATGATATTTCAATAATTATCTCTCATTATTTATTGCAACGCGCTACTGAACTTGCGATTAATCTTTCTTATTATATGACTCGTATTTACTGCATATAATACCGGCAGAGTTTGCATTAACGATTAAACGCACGAATCAATAATCGATATTCATATATCAACATTTTTCTAGTAACATCATTCTTTCAATAATATTATCGATATCTATGATAAATTTGAGATTCCTAGGTTTGCCAGCGATAAATAACAATGAATACATTTGTGTCGACCTCAACTGGTCCAAGTTTAATACGCAGGTGTTCCAGGAAGAAAGGTCAATATTCTGGGAGGTGATACTATCGGTCACTTTAAGCAAAACTGTACATACGAATATACATATGTCCCATTGCCCACTGTTTCCGAGATAGGGCTACTTGAATGTCTCGTGTATTTACTTTTTCCCTTACACTTCACCCTTCATCCAACCTCATAAACGTCTGCGGGAATTTACTCTTATACGTCTGTTGACCCAACGTGCTGATAGCATTGTAGAAATGTTCCAAACGCCTCGCGTTATCGCAAATGTCGAATATGCAGATATGCCGTATGTTTACGGTTTCTGTTGTTGAAGAATACCGTCGACGTTTTCCTACACGCAAAATTCTGAATCGTAAAGTGTTTTCCAAGGTTTTCAATACATTGCGTGAAAGTGGAACGCTTCCCAGTGTTCATGTTTTATCCGAACGAGGACGTCAACAGAATGCGCTCTATCTCGGAAACAGTGGGGAATTCGTATGAACATTTTTGCTTAAAATAACCAATACTGTCACCTCGCAGAATATTGAACTTTCCTCCTGGAACACCCTGTATATTAATGGTGCGACGCTTCGACCATTGGTTTTTGGTTCTTTTCAAGCACGATCTTAAAAGTGTGCGCGCGAGAGTTATAAAATGGTCATTACAGTAAAATTGGAACAAGAGTATGCGAGTCAAATTGTAAAAAGAGCAAGTCTACGATAAAAATTGATCGTTTGAAGAACTTCGATCCTTTAAAGGCCATATAAAATATAAATGTGATTCCGAGAGAAAATTTAATTTCCCATGTCTCGCACGTAATCCGTGTAAAAAGTAGAGAGGGGCTTTTTGAGTCGTAAGACTCCAATTTTATATTCTGCATTAATTCTTATTATAAGAGTTTTTCTTTTACCGACTCGAACAGTCTCTCCTTATCCTATATGTTAATCGGATAATTTCAAAATTTGTGGTTTGAAGAGAAATTATTACATAATTATGGCCTTTAACGGGGAATGTCATAGTGGTGTACAATCTCGAACAATCCGGACAGATTAATCAATGAACCGTGAAGGAACAAATCGGACGGGAAGAATAAGAAACAGACGGGAAATGTCAATCGAGTATTAACTCTTCACGATTGTCATCGGAATGCAATTGAACCCTTCTAAATGTAACACATAATCTGTATGCAAAATGTATTCAATTATCGGTCATATCGTTACACAACGGCCGGCTGATTTTTCGCAAAGCAATAGATGCGGCGAGACTCGCTACGGTCGAGTCGAGCGGGGTGCAAAGTAAATGTACCGAACGGGGGTTGCAAGCTTTACAGTCAGCATAAGAGATTGTGCACTACTCGCCGGTGAACTTAAGCCGCACAACCACACCACCCACACCACACCTCTGTGACCGAAACCCCAACTGATAATCCGCAGGGCGAGTCGAATGAAACGAGGATAGCCGTGGCGAACCAACGTGCGCACGCCCTGCTCAAGTAAAATGCGTCTTCTTTCTATCTCCACGTATCCGCCTCCTCCGGGCCCCACAAGTTGCATTATCACAGAGACGCTGTATCGAGCCAAAAAAGAAACGAAAAGAGAAATGGAAATTATACGCGCGTACTTATGTGTGTTATACGTAGGGAGGCTTGACCCGCGAACCCGGGGCTGGGATTATTCGCGGGGTGCCGAGTCAAGTGGTAGATATTAAATGCTAAATTAAAAGATCCACGCATTCAGTTATTAGTTGTCGAATTAAATTATTTTACCGTTGTCAAGTAGGTTTGACGTATAGCGATATTGTATGTGCGCACGCGAACGTATTACGCGCGATTCGCCGAGGGTTGTATCATCGTGTACATCCGACTATGATATTTAATTGATCGAAATGACCGGGGGCATGATAATATTACAATTGGAACGCGATATCTGGCGTCGAAACGTTGGAAACGTTTGAAACATCGGGATTACTCGAATATTCCCAGCTCTGCGAACAAGTCCCCCGTCCGTCCCCCGTTCTCCCTTTGCTGTTTTCTCGTCATCGCCCAGGCACCTGATCCGCTAACAACCTATGCAACAACGGAAAATTACCACCGCCAAATAACTACCACTTCTACTTCTATCACCACTACCAAGCTTTCCGTCGATACATACGACGGTGTGCAATGAACAACCGCTCGATAGCCGCGATACGCGGGAGAGAGTTTCCTTCGCGGGAACGTCGATTTAGTATTTGCATAGCCGGATCGCACGAGGAATATCTCGCTGGTACTCTCGGAGCTCGTAAACTCGCGAAAAGTCTTCATCGTTTGCGAGTCCAAAGCGACGAGCGTCTCAACGTTTGTTTCCCGTTTGGCCGGAGAAAGGATCGGCTTCAGATTTGTCGGAGGGAATCCTAAAGTGAACCCGGGGTGCTTTTCGAGAGGAACGATCGGTGGTCACTTGTTAATCATGGACACTACCCAGATAACATGCTTCTCTAAAAGACATCTTCAAGACTTCTTTAAGACGTCTTTAAGATATCTTTTAGACGTGTATGTCTAAAAGACGTCTAAAAGACGTGTTAAAGACATCTTAAAGATGTCTTTTAGACATGCATGTTATCTGGGTAATGGATTTGGAGTCAACAGAAAGGAATTTCCCTAGAGAAAAAGTATGCACAGAATGAGGAATAGGATATACATATTCAATATACGGATATAGAAACTCTGTATACGCATACAGAAATTGTGTATACCTTCTGTATACTTTTGTATACTTTTTCTCTAGGGTTGTCTCCTTTCAGTAGTTGTTGCAATTAATAATTAACTTATTACGATCTGATAGTCTTCGTTGCTCAAAGAAAGAATGATCCCGGACGATTTACAAACTGTACGTCAATAGAGATTTTATTTCGACAAGTATGTACAAGCGCGACGTAACGCGGCTACCGCGAGCGGTAAAAGCATTGCACTGGGATGTGTCATCGCTCCCCGTTGTTACAACACACGTTGTTATGAGACCCATCACACGTGCTGTCAGTCTTGTGATTGTGTCAAGAACAAGCGTCACCGTCGCCGTCGTCGTCGCGTGGGGAATTTGTTTCTTTGCTAAAGGGGTTTTTGCGGGGTTGGGGGGGGGGGGATAGCCACTTTACATCCGTACATTGATCGAACATAAACATACTGGAAGGAGCACCCCCTTGTTTTCCCGCGGTCAGAGCTGTGTGAGAGGGACAGTTAAGCCGGGACCGTGCTATCCATGTCTAATTACAACGATCACGTGACGTCACTTCAGCCGTAGAAATGACGTTAAAAGAGACAACGCAGTCTCAGTTTAACTATCTCTCTCTGACCGCTCGGTACCATGAAGGGGGTAGGCAGTGCTCATGCCCGACGAAATGTCTCTCGTTGATTCCTTTGAACCCCGGTGTCGGGACCGCACCGTTCTCAGTCGCTTTTGCTCCGATGCTCGCCGAAACCTATCGGATTAACACGCTTGACACGTCGCGAAAGAGCAGCATGAATTTCACCCTTCATCGCGACGCGACGGTTCACGTGGAGGAGCTGTACAGTGATGGGCAGAATGGTCGCGACACTTTTTTTTAGGAATATTTTATTTGATGGCCATTCCGAAACTACCTCGAGCGTTTCCGATTTATTTTTCAAGTAAAATTTTCCTTAGAGAGAAAATGTTTTGGAACGTACACCTGAATCTACATGCGCGTTCCTGAATTCAATTAAAAAGCGTCGCAACCATTCTGTCCATCACTTGTACGACTTTCGTCGATATTAGGGCCTGAGCAGAGAATGGCTGTCTTGTATTCTCAAGTCAGAAGACAGTTGTTGTGCGTTGCTTTAAGACAAAGGATTTAAAACACAAAACATTGTCGTAAGAGTACAAGACAGCCATTCTGTTCAGGCTCATACTTGCGAATACCGTATCGACTATAAGTCGTGTACGCGAGGGACCTAAGAAACGATTTTTCTTTTTTAGAAATTTTTGCGTGACTTCTGACGCGTAGTCTTTCCGAAATCGCGCGGAGGGAGGGAGACCTCGCTGTCGCAGTGAAAATTTACCGTTTATTTGACGCGAGGAAACGAATTTCGCTATAATGACGGATCATTCGGCGTTCTCTAATGGAAAAGACCGAATGAATTCGTACAATTCGTAACCGAAACGGAACAATCTATTCCTGGCGAATGCGTGTCGCTGTCGCGCATTCAAACTGTCGGTCGCGGAATAGGAATCGATTTTATAGCGAAATAATCCGCGAATTCTGTGGAATGAGATTCTTCCTAACAAGCTTTTTCACTCGTCCGCAGCCGAAATTCGCTGCGACAGCACAAAAACGCTCCGCTAAAAATGTCAAATCGACATCCCCGTGACCAACGCTCGTTTCTTCGCGCGCTAACGAAAAACGTCGACGTCGCGGACAGTAAATTTCCCGACAATCCTTCAGCCGCCGCGGGCTGTCCTTAGGGAAAGTTACGATTCCGCAGAAACCTTAAGCGGCACCGAACCCCGGAAACCTCGATCCGCGCTGTCGATCGGCCCTCGTCGTTCGCATCTTACGACATTGCGTTCTTGTTTTTTCTTGTTCTTTGACATGCAGGGCGAATCGAACGAGACGAGGATACAGGTGGCCAACGAGCGAGCCCATCAGCTACTCAAGTAAGCGACCATCCACACGCTATCGGCCGTCACGAGCGTCACTACCATCATCCTCCTCCAACACCATTTCTACCACCACTACTACCAACAACAACAACAAAATAGCAGCAATAACAACACAGCAGCAACAACAACACAGCAACACAGCAACATCGACACCAACAGCAATCAGTACAATTACACTCGATTATGTGCTCGCGGTCTATCGCGTTACGTCTGTTAGAACGTTGTTTCTTCGTTTGCATTCGCCGATACCGAATTGGTATCTCTCGAGCTCGGTATCGTAGAACACACGTAATACTTAATAAAAATACTTAACCCTAAACTTGGCCGAGTGGATTCTGTAAAATACAGTTGGAATTTTGTTACGTACTTTTTTTGTTATACGTCCTTATCTCCTTCGAGATAAGGACGTATTATGTAAGAGATTGTGCGAACGCACATCGCCACGGGTGATTTAGAAATCATCGCGACGATATGTAAAAGGATTTGCGATCTTTTAAATGTCTCTCCTAAGTTTTATTATATTATTATAATATGTTTCGCCACAAGCGACTGGCGAAATCGATGTGGAAAAAAAAATAAACGCTGAATTTGTTATCGTAACCGACGAGTATCTGCTGTTTCCTTCGTATAACGAAAGTTTTACTTTAGCTCTTGCAAGTTTAGGGTTAATACAAAGCAGATTTGCTCGTTACAAATGCGGAGACTGAGTCTGATTTTCAATTTCGGATCTGATCGGCATAAGTCCGGTTCCTCATCTAACGTTGAAGACATTCGATCTAACTTTCCGTTGACCTTCGATTCATCTCGCTAGTCCCTGTAATTGTAAATTAGATTCAATCTCCAAGACGGGCTTTTTGTCTTTGCAATGGCAATAATCCGCCGTGAAAAGCTACAGAAGATTTGAGTCGAATGTTTCGCGGCATCGATAGGCGGCTAATCGGTCATCAAAGCTGGATTAAAAACGGATTTCTAATTTAAGATTAACGGAATTGTCTTATTGTACCGATCACAACGAACAAGTCGATGGAATCTTTTTCTAGCGTGGCAAAGAGCGTCGAGTATTATCACGTAGGTTTAAAAAACGAGTTTAAAAAAAAAACGGAGCTGAAATCCAATTTCCGGTTCGAGAACGAGCAGCTTCGTTCCCCTGCCGACAGAGTTAGCGCGTTGAAGGATATGTTGGAACTTAAATAAAACTAATATATATATATATAATATATACTTCTCGTTAGTCACACACACGTACACGTACATATATCAGGGAGATTAAATGCACGAAAAATTGCAGCGATTAATTCAATTCTCTCGGTTTAATCGACTCTAAAGAGTTAGGCGGGACTGTATTGGAAGCGCAAGGAACAAACGGAAAACTGGAGGAAGGAACAACATAGTACAAAAATTATTACACTTATCTCCCGTTTAGAAAAAAATATTTCGAGTACTTCGTTTATTTCTCATCTTTTATTGGCACTCTCCACGATTACAATTTACGCTTGAGGGTCACACTCGAGTGTGTCAGCGTCGTCAGCGATACTGTCTACAAGCTAAAGGAACAACACACTAATCTCCCTCTCCCTCGAATTTCCCCTAAAACGCAGGGGGACCTTACATTGTCCTCCCCCCCCCCCCTTCCGATCGACTATGCGTATCCCCGAGTAGGTTTCGAGAGCGACTCGCGAATTTTGCGCGGAGAAATCGCGACGACACTTGGAGGAGGAAGGGACTGGGTTTGCGCGAACGTGAAAGACGAGGGAGCGGGATGAGATGGAAGGAGAGGAGGGACAAGTAGAGGAACAGGAAGAAGAGGCAGGAGACGCATGGCGAGGTAACCGAAGCAACGAAGAAAACACGTTCAGCCACACGATTATTAGGAGTCAGCCGAAGCTGTAGATAGAACGAGGTCTTCTTTCGTCGTTAAAAAAAAAATAAAAGAGCTCGACTCTCGTAGAACGTAGGTGTTATCTCCCCCTCCCCTTGCGACCTTGTCCCATGTCCGGTCCAGCTTACCCGCCCAGTCCCCCAATTTTCCCCTTTTGCGCTAATCGCGCCGAGATCACAGTAAGGTTTAACTCCAAAGAAAGATTGTACATTATTGTATTTACATGAGGGCGACGTACCCACCTTGTTGAATCGTACGATGAGGAAGAGGAGGTTGATAGAGAAGTCGGACGCGGCCTGAGAATCGACATCCGTCAGTGATGCCTCGCGGATCTTACGGAAACGACGAGACAGCGCTGGGGTTCTTGCGTGGTCAGTTTCTTTATTGGCACCTCGACAATACAACGGAGAAGAATCGTAACTGTCTCTTATTTTGAATCACGGGGAAAAAGATGGAATTTAGAAATAAAATAGCCAACGGGTGTCGATCTCGGGCGGCGCGGCCAGTAAGGATCGAGCACAAATAATTGCGTAGCCTTTTCGATTTCGCTTGTCCTTTGCTTTCTCTCGGAGAGGGAAGGAAACGCCCTTCGGACGCTTCGCCGAGTGAATGTGCTAAGAGGAGTGAAAGGGTTTGTACGAATTCTGAGAGCGAGAGTGAGACCGAGAGCCAGAGAGAGAGAGAGAGAGAGAGAGAGAGAGAGAGGGGAGGGAGCGGGAGAGGAGACAAAGGGAGGGGGAGGGGAGCGAGAGAGAGAGAGAGATGTGAAGAACGAAAAGTAAAAGTGCGTGTGAGAGTGAGAGATTGTGCTATGACGCGAAATCATTAGGCCTAGTGATCGCTTAGGTCGAGGAAGATTTTAAATAATTATAAATATATGTGGACAACATGTGACGCGTAAATACAAACTGGTCCTGTTTCTACAGCGTTGTTATTCAACACCTCGGCTGATTTAACGCGACTTTCCTTCGACGATCGTGTTCGAGTCATCGATAGCTTTTAAAGGACACGCGATGTTGAAAGTTGGACAGTTACAGTCCCTCGTCGAGAGGGAGACCGACTCGGCATGGATCGCGAGCTTCGACGTTTAAGAACAATGTAGTAGAATCAGGACAAGTCAGTGTGTACGCCACTTATTTGCATATATATATATATATATATGTATATGTGTATGTATATATGTATATATATGCATATGTATACATAGCCCTGTAGAAAGCGAACGCGGTAAGTCCTTTCTTAAATAGCTCCTGGTAGAAGAGTACGAAAGAAGATTACTTTAAGGAGGTTGGTGCGTTACTTGCCGGGAGAGCGTAACAAGGGAATGTTTAGGCTCTTAGCAATTAAGGCAAAGGGAGAGCGGTGAGCAGCAAGCGATACGCGAGGATCGCCGCTCCCCATCTGTCGCCACCTCTTCCCTCGCCTGTCATATTGCGCGCTTTCACCTACATTTTGTACTAGAAAAAAATATACATTTTTTAAACGAGGTGGTAAAAAGATTTCGTTTTTTAGAGTTATTCACAAAAGATTCTAAAACTTGAATAGTTTTCTTTTCTATAATCTTGCTGTTATATCTCTTTATTTTATTTTGGGAATCACGTTTGTATCCATAGCGCTGACAAAAACCCATGTACTTATAAAACCTTAACTTTAAAATTAAATTGCTCAGAAACAATTGGTCAAATCACTTGGAACTCGAACAGTCAATGCATTTTTTTGCCAATAATGTTTTCCAAAACTTGCATGTGATTCTTATCATATTGCTGTAAGTCACCAACCTCTTTAAGCAAGCGACAGAGTGAGCGAGCGAGCGAGCGAGAGAAAGAGAGAGAAAGAGAGAGAGAGAGAGACAGCGGAGAATGTCTTTATTATATATTATATATAAATAAACGAGTAAAAATAGATATAAATATACATAATTACGGGATCGAGCAATATTGTACTTGTTAAATTCGTCGTTACTGTTTATCACCACCTATTGCGAGATTACGTACTTATTTTATGAGTATTATTCACCGCTCCTACTATCTCCATTCCCCTTCCCCCCCTACCAAGCCTTTTTTGCCCTGACGATTAAGTCATATCGAATCTGCAGGTATATATAGTACATTTTAAACACCTACTCACACAAACGTACACACAAATAATGTATAGAACAGGCAGTTAGGTAGATAGATCAGTAGAGATATGATGATTAAAAAAAAAGAATAACTAACGGAGTGAAGAGGATGAGATAAGAAAGATTCGTATGTGTGTATGCGAGAGTGAGAGAAAAAGTGCGAGAGGGATTTTACGCGAGAGATTAAGAATGACGACGCGAGAAGAATGAAGAGCGCACGAGAATCGTAGGAAATCCGGAATTTAAGATAAAAATCATGCTCTTTGTAAATGTGCAGAGTGTCGCGGGACTGTCGATTGTGCCTGCACCTAGAACTGATCGAAGGAGCGCAAACGTTTGGTACGAATACAATTCTACATTCTGGGCGATTCCCAGTATTTGAAATGGTTTAGCTTTGATGAAGATCAGTGTCCGGTAAACACCAACTAACAGTTATATAACATTAATATCATAATTTCCTACTCAACAATGTAACTGTTACGTGCAACCAGTGTATATCCTATTTATATTGTTGAGGGAAAAATTATAGTATTAAATATACGAAAATTATGTTACACAGTTGAAAAATTTGTGTTAAATTTAACAGATATCACATGTCTCAAACGGTCCACACAAATTTTTGTGTTAATTTAACATAATATGGATATGTTAAATGATCACACTAATACTCTGTTAATCTTTTAACACAAAATAAATGCAAATCCCAAAATACTTTGAAATAAATTTTGTGTAAAATTGACATATGTTTAATGACAAAATAAATTTAAAAATGTAAGTTTTACATTTTACAGATATAATAAGTCAAATGACGGTTCGAAATCCCTCTCGCTTATGTTATATAGATATAGAATAAAATCAACATTTTATCCTGTAAATTTTAACAGATAGATTTGTTACTAATAATATAGAAAATATGTATTGTGTCAGATTAAAAAATAAGTACACATTGTGTTGTTTTAACTTTTTTCAGTTATTTTAACACATGAATGTGTTAAACATTTAACATAAAAATTTTAACCGGCATTTTTTTTTACAAGAAAACACAAATTTTCCAACTGTGTATAAAACAGTTCAAAATATAAAAAGTAACGATAAAAGTAACTGTTAAATTCGTGAGACTGCGTTACTTACCGTTACAGTTACAAAAACAAACTGCAACACCGCTACGAGTTTATTATCAAAAACTGGTAACTGTAACGGCAACGGCGATTGTAACTCATTACTTCCCAACTCTGCTATTGATGTCATGTAACTGTTAGTTGAAGTTTACTGGATGAATTTGATTTTCAAGGATGTGGATAAAATGGACAAATTAATTTTGCGTCAGGATTGGATCTTAAAATTGGTATTTAATCAACTTGGATCTCTAGTCTTAAGTTTCCTAAACTCGTCCATTAATTAATCGCTCTCGCTCCGGGGTCAGGATGTTTGTTCCCCTGAAGATACATCGGTAAAAAGTGGCGAATTGACAACAACGCGGACGTTAATCTTAAGTTAGAGGGCGATCTTTGCGTATCCTCCGAAGAAATATTCGACAGATCCGGATGGCACTCTGTATATGAATACGGAAACAATTTCATATCTCCTGAGGGTCAGTTTCACACACTAACATTGGTTAATTGTTAACCACAGATTAGTCGACTGCCTTTTTCTATATTATTATCTAAGAAGAGACAGAGAATCGATCAATCTCCTGTTGGCAGTTAACCGACGCTTCTAAAGCTGACTCTAAGTGACTATTACGTACCTTGACATAGCTAATCGCATCGAGAGTTAACGTGGAGATCGAAGGAGCTCCAGCGAACTGCCGGCAATGTGATATGCGACCTCAATTTGCGACTAGAGGCGTAAAACTTTCGGGAATCGATACTGTGGCACGAGATCGAGTCCAACTTTTACATTCATCGGCGCCGAAATCACGTTTCAACAATATTCTTACGTGAACCAAACGCGATTATATATTTTTTTCTTCTCAATCATACTGACGATTCTCAAATATTTTGGCAGAAAAAAGTTCGTAGCTCTTTTTGTCCTCTTTGATCCTCGATCTTGTAGACGTCATGAAATCATAATTGAACCAAAGTATTGATTGATCTCGCGATCGAATCATCGGAGCTCGTTCCATCGATCGATTCCTTCGGAAACGTGCGTAAAGGTGCCAGTCACCTCCTCATGTACTTACTGCGAAATACGAGTGTACGAGAGACAAATGTACTTGGGACCACCGTGCAAACGCGCAAGGTGTCGTGGAAGGCGATCTTCGAGGCACTCGTGCAATCCGTATGCAGTAGAACGGCGACGAACGCAAAGCTGGCGTGGACGAGAATGAGGAACGTGGCGCATTTGGGAAACGCATTTGTAAATTGTAAAGTTACCGATGTAAGCAGGGAGAGATGGGACACGAAACCAGCTTCTCTCTTTTTAGTACCGATTATAATGTCGCTAGATGTTATTTACGATACCGTATCGTATAAAAAAAAAAGGAAAAGATGAAGTTTTACTCCTCAGCAGTACCATTATAACAAATGCCTGTGTATTTTACTTCTTGGCAAATAATAAACCATCAAATATTGTACGCCGCTTTTATTTCCTTTGGGATCCGTTTACCTAAATCGAAAGGATCCGCAAAGAGGATCACACAGAGAAAGAGGTTCCTTTGAATTTAGTATTCCTATTTATTTGATTGAGATTTGTTTCATTGAAACAACATGTGCTTATACGAAACAGTATTTGTTTGAATAAAAATTTTGTTGTTTTATTCCAATAATCCCTACCCTAGTAGCACAATTCATTAGCTGTACATTGGCTAACATTGGTTAAACATTTATGTTGGGAGTGCATTGGCCAATATTTTCCTAATATAACGCCAGTATTGGTCATAAAATAAATGCAAATATATTACTAATGTTGCACCTAGATGATTATTCCAAATTGATACTGAAATTGTGATCTGAAAATTATCGAATATTCTTTCTTTTTGCAATAATAAAAAAGCAAAAAGTTAACATCACACGGTATTCCCAAGCGGTCACCCATCCAAGTACTAACCGTGCCCAACACCGCTTGACTTCAGTGATCGGACGAGAACTGGTACTTTACGATGTGGTATGGAAGTTAACGAAAATCTCCAGTTTATTTATGGATTCTTAAGCGGGGAGCACACACTTTTGCATAAGTGCATAAACGTATGCATAACGAATTTGATTGGTCTATAAGCAAATGCACAAGAAAATGGACCAATCAAGTTCGTTATGCATATGCTTATGCACTTATGCAAAAGTGCGTGCTCCCCGCTTAAGAACCCATAAATAAAGTGCATATTCTCGTTAACTTCCATACCACATCGTAAAGTACCAGTTCTCGTCCGATCACTGAAGTCAAGCGGTGTTGGGCACGGTTAGTACTTGGATGGGTGACCGCTTGGGAATACCGTGTGATGTTAACTTTTTGCTTTTTTTATTATTGCAAAAAGAAACAATATTCGATAATTTTCAGATCTTTACGTAATCATATTTTATTACAAAGGTATATTATTTCAAATTTAAACAAATTATTTGTTTAATCCATTTCAAATATCAAAATTGTTTGGATACAACAAAATTTATTAAATCTAAAGAAATCGTTTTCTCTGTGCACTAACGACTTAGGGAATGCTTCGAAATTCAATCGTGCTATCAGAGATAAATCGAAATCCTAACAAGACGTGCTTCTAACGAGGATACGTTTTACGTAACGAATTTATCACGCTCGATCTTGAACATGTGTCAGAATATATGTGCAGTCACAGTGCAATAGAAACGAGACACATTTCGCGTGTTAGAGTCTAGATAGGTATTAAATTACTTTGTAATAAACTCTATGTACATCACATGTGCAAGGTAAATCTCGGCGCAAAAAACGGTATATGAATTCACATATAAAATTTTAAATTATTGAGCTATCTTAATCTTGCTCGGACTTAAGTAATATAATTTGGCGTTCTCGTTTCCATTTGATTTATTACATTACTGTTGTACGGAATTCTGAAAATACACTGTAAAAATCTTGGGATCTGAAGAAGAAGCCGAGACAACGAGTAGTGAAATTATGCTACAAAAGTAAATGCTATTACTTTTGTAGCATAATTTTCTATTACATAACAACCATGCTATTACATAGCAACCACAATATAAAGAAAAATTATAAATATTTTTATGCAAGGTAACGCATATTCGATTAATGTGATTATACGTATATCAATTTTTTCTTACGTGATAAATTCGGTAAGTTTTTACATTAAAGAATGATGGAACTTTATCGCATAATAAAAACACTCTAAATAAGACACTGCAAAGAAAATTCGTAGAAACGACCATAATACTTAAATTAATCGTGCAAAATAATCAGCTTTAACCATCTTAAACTTCTTTTTAACGAAACGTATAAAATCTTATCTAGTTGGATTCAAATTTTTCGATGTGCAACAACTTGGAGACTTTGTCTATCAGATGTGCGAGGTAAGTCTTGTAATTTAACGGCGTAACTGATACACAGACGTATTGTATTCTCATTTCATCCTGCAAAACGTAGAAATTGTTACAAAATATACACTATCTTAGAACATTTATATAATGGAGATTTATATAATGGTAAAAAAAAAGATTGCTGTGAAAATTAAAAAGGTGGAAAAGGAGGAGGAATCTTATTAGTATGACGAAATGCACGCTGTATCGGTTACCTGGAAAACTTCTGATTTCGCCCTCAAGTTGAAAGTAAATCTTTTGAAAGTTGCCTCGCCGAATTTATGCAAATAGGCATCGTTATCGCTCTCTTTCAATTCCCCCAAGTGTTGCGCCGATATGCCTAATATCTTCTCAGCTTCTTCACCAAAGGCAGTTACCCAGCGATTGCCTGTCGCATCCACTATATTCATCTGAGAATCGTTACGACAATAAGTCGAACAGATATATCAGAATGTACTTGCAAATAATAAATAAGGAACAGCGCAAGGACAATATACATACACTTGCCAGCAATCGATATGAGAAATTTGGATACTCCTTGTTACACTTCTCACATCTAAATACTCCAGTAGATTGATCAATTAACTGAAATTGAAGTTTTATGATAATTCATATTTTGTAGCTTGGAAATATCGTTGAATTTTCATTTTATAAATTTTATTCGTGTCTCATACCACTCACTTTTTTCTTACAACTTTCTATGGGACATGCCTTGTAGATAGCATTCTCCACGCGAATTATTTTATTGGTCGCCACCACCATAAATGCATCCGAGATATTCATTTTCTCCCCCAATCGAGCTTCGGTTGCCTCTTGGAGAGTATATAACGGCACGTTTAAGTCACCACTTCCACCTGCTCTAGATAATGATCTAGCATTTTCTGAATGGCCAACTGTGGTGTACCATTCGCGCAATCTGAAATACACATCACAATACATCATATAATTGTACATTACAGTGTCTTTATGTAATTATATCTCCAAAATTGTATATTTACAACATATTATCTTTAAAGAAACTTGCTAGAAGTCAATCCAGACAGCAACTGATTCTAATCAAAGTTACAATTAAAAAAATTAATATTAAAAATTGCATAAAGACCAATTAGAAAATAAGGCTACTTCTAGTCAATTACACATAAATTTTAATTATCATAAGGAAATTAGAAAAATTGTTTTACTTAAGAATCAGCTTGAATATACCTGTGTGCTTCAGGAAGATCAGGATTCTTTTCAAGTACAGAGGAATGTATGAGGGACAGGTTTTTTCCACCATTGAATTCACCCACACGCGCTCCTTTAATGGCCAAGACCGGGTTATTGGAACCATCAAAGTCCTTGGCTTGTTTTTCCCATAGTGCAACGCTTACCTAATGAAAAATTCATTTATTTATCCATAACAGCAAAATGTTAAAATTTAGTCGTGTCAATAAATTGCTTACCATCGTACCACTGTCGTCGACGATATTGACATCTCTCTTGATGAACTCTCGGCCGGTAGATCGCTGTACAACACGTTGTACATCGCTAAAAGTTGTAACAACACCCAAGACATCTATAAAAAATGTAACCGAGTTAAGTTACAATTACAGCTGAAAAGAAAGTAACGGAGTTAAGTTACAGTTACCATAAAAAAAGTAACTTGTAACTTGGTTACAAGTAACGAGTTACTTTCCAACCCTGTATTTAGATAAGTTGGAGCAAATGTTGACAATTGATGCAGATTTTACACACAAGACGATTGTCTGTAAAATCATCTAAATATCACAAGACAGAAAACACATATAATGATGAAAAAAATCACCTAATTGATGTAACGTGAATTTAAGATTTTAATTAGCTCTTATAATCGCATTGCCTTTTACAGGTACCTATAAACTCATTTTGTTCCTTGTTCTCCACTTGACTTATCGGACAGAAGTTAAACTGTAACGTCGGGATGTCATCGTTATTTTCGTAGCAAGGTATGATCACTGTATCCCTGGTTATCACCATCTCGTAATCATTTTTCAATGTATTAAATTGTTTGTTCGCCATCTTCAGCGTGCACTGCGTGATACAATACACTTGTCTAGGCTGCATAAATGAAAACACTCGACAATTTAACCCTCGACCAAGAAAAAGATATACTTATCACCACTCGCATATGTACCTGTATTCTGTCATAGAACTTGTCACACATATCTCTGAATGCAACACATCGAATTTCACCACTTTCGTCAATCAACCCCATGGAGAAAAGCTTACCTTCTCCACGGGAATTGCTCCACGTTTTGATTGGAGACTTGCTAGTCACACGGACCTTGACCACCCATCTAAACGCATTTAATCACACACAGTGCCTCTTATTTCTTCAACGCAACATCTAAAAATGTACTTTGCAATAAATATAAAACAAAATTCTCCCACCTATTTTGGTAAGGACTTAACGCTGCTATTGGTGTAGGCCATGCAGAGTATATATCAGAGAAGAAATGACTTGAAGTGTCTTTTCTGGCTGAACCGTCTATTATAAGCAAAGCAGATTTTGTATTCCATAAAATATCGTAAATACAGTAAAGTGAATCTTCAATTTATTCCACACGTAATTGGTGCAAGGCAGCAATGTACTCACTAATTTGGTAACGTGCAATTGCGCCTGTGGAAGCGAATGTAGACTCAGCCTTTGACCTAACTTCCAAGTTAGTTGGATCACCTATCTTGTGCCCAACTTCGCTGCCGGGAACCAATACCTCGATGCCCAATATCAAGAGCACAGGTCTGACAGAATAAAAGTGTGCATGATATGTTTGAACTATTTACTTATTTTAATGCATAAAACGCGTGGATAAACAATACTTTTCTCTGCCACCGTTGCTCACTGAACTCAAGTGATAGTTTAATATTCTGCAGATTGCATTCTCGGTCAGAATACTGTCGGTGATCAGATTATTCAATTGAGTGGCCAACATCGTGAACGAGTTCAACTTCTGTCCGTCAGATACCAGCAATCTGTAGCGATCAGTATCGACACCATCCTTGTTGACAGTTCTCGCTAGTTTTTTGTAACTCTGTAACGTTACATAAAATTATTGGGATTACGTTCCAAAGTTACAAGATAGAATCCTTGCCGCACCCAAAGCACGTTCTGTGCAGTGTCTTAAGTTTTGATGCATCGAAATGACTAGCGCGATAGACATACAAATATATCCAAGTATGATGAACACGTAAATCTACAATCTTGGGTGCATTTCGTATCACGCGTGACGTACATAATGCACCATTTATCCTTCTTTAACACTTGGCGAATAACAAGGCTAAGTGATGCATCATGCGTGAAACAGAACACACCCCTGGACAAAAGGGGTATCGCGCGTCCCGGATAAACAGGTTTAATATATCGTTCTGCGAGGATGTAACAGATCAGAATGCTGCCTGTCCTGTCGCACTCACCAATACTTGTAGCACTGGTTTTTCGACATCTATGCCCGCCATGATATTCTGAAACGATTGAAGTTCACTGTTAAATGATACAATACAGTAAGGCAGAGAACGATCCTTAAACACTTAGGTCTATCTTAGTTGTAGACAAGACAGACTTGAGGCAAGGCAGAGAAAAACTTGAGTCGTGCACAATAGACTTTCATGGCTTAAGTTTTTCTCCGCCTTGCCTCACGGACCTAAGCAGAACGGCTGTCTTGTATTCTTAAGACACAAGACAGTTATTGTGCGTTGCTTTAAGGACCTGAGCAGAACGGCTGTCTTGTACTCATAAGACGTAAGACAGTTATTGTGCGTTACCTCAAGACAACAGATTAAAACATAAAACATTGTCTCAAGACTGTCTTATACCCTTAAGACAGCCTTGAGACAATGTTCTACGTTTTAAGCCTTTGTTTTGAGGTAACGCACAATAATTGTCTTATGCCTTCAGAGTACAAGACAGCCAGTCCGCTCAGGCTCTATGGCATATTTAAAACATAAAATATTGTCTTAAGAGAACATAGCAGCCGTTCCTACGTCTACGATTAAGACAGACTTGTGTAGCGACTTCGACAAAGACTACGGCCGGTATTCATAGTCCGTTCTTATATTTAAGATCATCTTAAGTATACTCTTAATGTGTTTTCAACCAATCACAGAGCCGTATTAGCGTCTTAAGACAACACTTAAGATGATACTAAAATAAGAATCGACTATGAATACCGGCCTACGTTTCCACCGAGGGTCAGAGTCGGGCTAGAGTCGGGTCAGAATCGGGTTGGGGTGAGCGTTTTTGCGGTGGAAACACCAAACTGGGTCAGAATCGGGTTGGGGTTAGGTGTTT